CTTTTGTGACTCTATTCCTTGCAGAGAGAAGTTTCACACGTGTGACGGATGAGAAGAAAAAGAATCAGATGATACGTATTGGTATAGAAGACGTACACGTACATAGAGATTAGCTCAATCAAATATGGAACTACTACGTGAGAGTTTTATAGTTTTCGCTTTATATAAACAGAGAATCCCTTTTGGTATGACTTTTGGGAAACTTGTAAAGAGCAATCCAGATTTCTAGAACAATCAATGAATTCTAAAATCAAAATCTTTTAATTACAATACTCCGATCGCTAAATCTACTTCTATTACTTAAGTGGAACAAAATAAAAGAGTTCATATAATTTGATATGAGTTATCTCGACGTTTCCGTTGCATTAATGAGTTGGTGATAAAGGTTTATTTAGTTGACAATCTAATAAAGTGTTGTTCAATCGACTTATGTTTGTTTTGTTTTGTTCATTTAAGTAAACAACTGAATTATTTATTTTTATCTGTTTGTTAATTTTTCCATATCGGATTACCAGTATAATGTGGTGAATTTAACAAATATATAATGAGGTGGTTTGACGATATTACCACCACATATAACCGGTTCATGCTGGATTGTGGATGTTGATAATATATTGTCTAGGATCTTCGAGCAAAATCTTGGTGGTTTGATGGTTATCCCACATATGAACCGAGAAACCGATGGCATGTTTAAGGCTGAAGATACGTTCTATTATCACAATCGATGCATTCGTCTCTTGTCTGCCACTATGTTTTTATATTCTTTTTCACTAATCTGGACTTGCACAAACGTTCTTGATCCACGTAAGGTGGCTACATTTTCCAACTACTCTCAAACACTTTCATGTACATCATTTTCTCTTATCAGCGGAAAACGCCCCAATTTGATTACTAGAGCTCCTCCATCTTTAAGAGGATGAGAAGAGAAGACTTGTTTCATAATCCGGAACATAATGCAAGAGAGAGTCGTCCATTAGAGGTATTCTAGGGCTACACATAGTGAGCCATAGATATATGTAGTCACTTTTCCTCGAGATCTCCCCTTTTCAGCTTTGCCGCTATTGGAGTCTCAAACATGTAATGCGACCACAAAGAGATCACGACATCTTCACATAGAGTATGATATATAGATGGGTTTGGCCACAACATTCATGCACTTGTTGTGTATGTAATGACAAGAGTGATCACGATCACTGGGAATAATGTCAACAATTTCAACACCAACATCCATGTCGGG